GGTATCGTCAGATTGTAGAGCCATGCATGTGTCATTCTTACCTGATCAAATCAAATATGTTATAAAACTATACCTTCATGTGCTACTGTTAAAGATAAATGTGGTCGAAATTGTAGATTTTTGCCAAACATTTTGATCTTTTTCGTCATTTGTGTCCTTTTTAAGATAAACAAACGCATTTTTTGTGGTAAAAACATTTTGCAATTTCTTCTTTACACATATATGCATTACATTTGCGTAACAATTGTTTGGAAATAGTTATCTGTCAAATATTTCATGATTTTTGTAAAAAGCTGGCAATTTGTGCTGTTTATTTATTTAATTTAAAAAAAAAACCTCATCGGGGACTTTTTTCATTAGAAATTGCCACATATAATCTTCCTACATAATTTTCAAGTTTATGACTTAAATCTGCGGAAAAAATTTGATGTGGCGAAAAATAACCTTTTTGCTTTAGCTTCGTCATAACCTCAGCTGTAACTGTATCGTATGCAATTAATATACCTCAATAAATATTTTAATGACATGTAATCAACCCTACCATCATTTTGGGTTTATGCTCGACGACGTAAATTTTTTTAAGAAAGACTATGTCATTTCTAGGAATTAGCTTAAGTAATATTAAACACCTTGGCTTTTATGATTGTATGGTGGTATTTTCGTTTAAGATATATTAAAACGTTTATGAATCGTACTTTTAATCCATCCGTTTGGCTTTATCAAAATATAGATAAAAGAATCAATTATTACTGTTTGGGTTATTGCTGTCTTTTGTTGCTACCAATTTCTTGTGGTATGTCCTCTTTCGACTGCTCAATTTTACCTTTGGTGCTTAGTAACGGGTTTTGCTTATCTAATGTATAATGTAATATTTAATGTAAATATTAATCTTTTTATAACAATGAATGTTTTGCAGTATGTTTGTTAATTCTAAATAAGAGGTATAGGGGGAGGGTTGAGATCTCACAAAACATGTTTAAGGTAGATGGGGTGTCTAAATTATAATCCAAAGAATTTTTTAATAATTTGCCAAAATGTAGTTTATATCATGCTTTTTTGAAAAAAATAATAAAAAGAATGGATCACGGGGCTTATTTTCACGCTACAGGTTGTGCAAAATTGGCAGATTTTGTATAGATTATGCATGGAAAACGCAATTTTCTGCCATAAAACGAAAACTACACCATAGATATTTGAGATAAAATATGAGAAGATAGCTCTAATATTATACTTTCAGATAAGAAAAAGAAAAAAATGGAATCACCGGGCCCGTTTTCTTGCTACATAATAAAACAGATAAATTCCTAACACATTATATCGTAAAAGTAACTTTATCTGAATTATCTGCCCTTACATTTGAGTTGCCTCCCCTTATGTGGCAAAGTTGGAAAAAATTGAATCAAACAAAAGTATTCTGTTTTTTGTAAAATACAACCATAAATAGAATAAAACATGTCATTTTCTATATTAGAATGAAAATTCTTACACATGAATTACCCACTTCTCTTAAAATTTGCATATTTTATTAAAGGTCTAGACCGATTATTTTCTGGTATTTCAAAATCCAAGATGGAGGAAGACACCCTATCTACCTTAACACTTTTTGCGCCTGTCCCAAATCAGGAACCTCTAGCCTTCGTTAGTCTTGCGAAAAAAACACAAAGAAATATAAATCAATTGCTTTAAAAAAGCAATTGTAAACGGTCTTTCTCCCCTTCTGAAACATGATTGATTGATATGTGTGTGTGTGTGTTTGTTTGTTTGTTTCTTTATTTAAAGGGTCCATATTAGTGTGTTGGTTAAGTTTCTATATTTAGTTAGTTGGAAAGTTTTTATTCTATTTCAGGTCCCGCGCGCGTATTTGTCTCGCGCCAGATTGTGGCGTCACGTGACGAAGCTTTATAATAGCAAAAACTTAGCATTTTTATTTCTTTTTAGGTGAAGACGTCCAACAGACAACATGTATAGCGACGGAATTTACACAATGTATTTCTTTTGTCATTGTAGGTAATTGACATTTTGATCACAGTTTACGAGCAGTGCATGCTTTGGATTTAATTGATCCTGGTTAATTTTAAAAGACGTTTGTTGATTTTTTTCATCTGATGTACATTTTTCAGTAGCAGTTTGTAACACAGATTTGTATTTTAATCTAGGAGCGGACATTTTATTGTAGGATTTCACTGAGATTTACGGAGCTAGCAAGCGATTTTTACGGCATTGCAATTTCTTTTCTCTAGGAAAATTCTTGGGAGATATCTGCACCACGTTGTTTTATGGAGATGTAATACATGTATACCCTGCTGACTGCAAATTTAGGGGTCAATTGGACATGTAGTTTTCCAGAACATCTGATAACAAGCATGTGGATTTTTTTTTTCAGAAGAGATGTAAATACAATATTAAACACATGAGACGGAAACGTGCATACAATGAATGATTGATTGATCAGTTGGTTAGTTTATTGAATGATTGATTGATTAATTAATTAATTAATTGGTTGGTTGGTTGGATGATTGATTTGTTGATTGGTTGGTTGGTTGATTAAACACGTGGGATAGGGTCTCTTGAAACAAGCGAAAAAAGAAACAAAGGAAATCTTGGACCCCGTATTAAACACATGAGACGGAAACATGCACACAATGAATGATTGCTTGGTTGGTTGGTTGGTTGGTTTATGGATCGGTTGGTTGGTTGGTTGATTGGTTGGTTTATTTAACATATGGGATATGGTCTCTTAAAAAAAGCGAAAAAGAAACAAATGAGATCTTGGACCCCATATTGAACACATGAGACGGAAACATGCAGGCATGCACTGATTGATTGGTTGGTTGGTTGGTTGAATGGTTGATTGATTAATTGATTGATTATTTGATTAATTAAACACGTGGGATAGGGTCTCCTGAAACAAGCAAAAAAGAAACAAAGGAGATCTTGGACCCCGTATTAAACACATAAGACGGAAACATGCATACAATGAAGAATTGATTGGATCGTTGGTTTATTGATTGGTTGGTTGGTTGATTGGTTGGTTGGTAGGTTGGTTGGTTGGTTAATAATTTTAACATGTGGGATATGGTGGTCTCTTGAAACAAGCGAAAAAAAAACAAATGAGATCTTGGACCCCATATCAAACACATGAGACGGAAACATGTATGCATGCAATAATTGATTGAATGGTTGGTTGATTGATTGATTGATTGATTGATTGATTGGTTGATTGATTGATTGGTTGGTTGGCTAATAAATTTCACATGTGGGATATGGTGGTCTCTTGAAACAAGCGGAAAAAAAACACAAATGAGATCTTGGACCCCCATATATCAAACACATGAGACGGAAACATGTATGCATGCAATGATTGATTGAATGGTTGCTTGCTTGATTGATTGGTTGGTTTATTATTGGTTGGTTGGTTGGTTGGTTGATTGATTGATTGATTGATTGATTGATTGATTGATTGATTGATTGATTGATTGATTGATTAGTTAATTAAACACGTGGGATATGGTCTCTTCAAACAATCGAAATAGAAAGAAATAAGATCTTGGTCCCCATATTAAACACATGAGACAGAAACATGCATGCAATGATTGACTGACTGACTGACTGATTGATTGATTGTTTGATTGATTGATTGATTGATTGGTTGGTTGGTTGGTTGGTTGGTTAACACAGAGAACGGATCCACTTTGATCATGCAAAAACGGAATAGAAAGCCTAAATACTATATCTAAACACATGAGATTTATCTTTTGAGAGATCACTTAACAAGTAGTAAGGTTAAAGGTCAATGTCAACCTACAAAAGCATTAAAACACACATCAAACTCTTAAAATAGTGCCAAAAACACATAATTTGCCTCTTTGTACATGACCTTGACCTTGTGACCTTGGTCAAGGTCATTGGTCCACAATGTCATCGCAAAAGACCCTATGGGTCTAGGCCTTTTGTTTAAGAGTTTTGCCTAATAATGTCTTTTTACAAACCATCAATGGGGGTTATGTCCCTTACACAATGATAAAACCAATACAGTCATAAAGTAACAAAGTTGCCCCTTGAAGTACCAAGCATTTTTCACTATTTAAATTTTCTCTATCTATAACCATTTGAGAATTATAGGGAAATCAACGAAATGTCAAAATCTAAAATATGACCTTGACCTTTGACCTTGACCTATATTTTCAAGTTATGGTCCAATGATCTCAAATAAAAAGACCCTAGGTCTTTACAACTTACGGTTTATGAGATTCTTATGCATACCGAAAAGTAACATATTCAAGGGGAAATAACTCCTATAAGAGGTCACTGGATCGCTTCGGTTAAAGTTATTTAAAGCTGCGACAAGTGGCAAGGAACATTTAAAAAAAAAAACCATTTGCCGCTAACTCTTATAGTTTATGAAGAGTAGCGATAACAATGGTTCTTGTAATTGGGGAGATAACTCCTATAAGGTAAATAGTACACTTTGGTTCCCCTAATACAAGATAGATTTTATTAATCCAATACATGGCACCAAAGATCATTTGGATCTGTCGCGTACTTTTTTTGACTTTTGACTTTGAAATCGGACGAGGAAAAAGAATAATAATAATAATAAACAAACGAAATACAGTAAGGTCTTTCCATTAAGAAAGGAAAGACCTTAATTACATGATTAAAAGTGTTAGCGAAAACCTTTTTTCTTTAGCGACGTCATAACCTCAGCTGTAACTGTATTGTATGCCAATAATGCTTTTGTCGTATATCTCAATAAATATTTTAATGACATATAATCAAGCTTTCAGTGTTTCTGTTGTTTCGTTGTTTTCCTCTTATAGTTCATGTGTTTCCCTCGGTTTTAGTTTTGTAACCCGGATTTGTTTTCTCTCAATCGATTTATGACTTTCGAACAGCGGTATACTACTGTTGCCTTTGTTAAGCGCTTTCAGCCATTGTTACATAGTTGTTAAATATATATATTCGTATGAAGTGTGTAATACAAAACATTTCTTTTTAAGACGTGCAGACGGAGACTTACAACTGGCCATCTATCCTTTCATTGAGTATGAAGAATCAACATATTTTGCATGGCCTTGCTTGAAGGAAAATCCCAAAAAACAGTTCCAGGACATAAAGGAATTTCCTTCCAGGGATGATGACATTTTAATATGCACGGCGCCGAAAACAGGTAAGTTCCATTTTAATTTCCAATCAAAGTCAAATTATTCATCAATATCTTATAATTACATATATAATATTTTGTGTTCGCTTTCATATTTAATTACATGTATTCCAATGACTACATATTTTTTGCTTAAAACTTTTACTGTAAAAACAATGTCCTGTATCATTACAAAGCTAAACACGAAAGTCCATATCTATTTTGGGAAAAATATTCTTTTGCTTATCGTTTAAGAAATGTAGATGTTATTGTTTTTCACGATTTTTCTACCAGGTACACATTGGGTTCATGAGATTATATGCATGCTAGTAGACCACACGACAGAATATAACAGTAGGGCCGCTACACTGAAAATCCATTTAGATTTTATGACCGACTTTCAATTATTGGAGGCTGAAAATAGGCGAAGAATTCTACATTCACATCTTCCTTGGAGCTTTTTGCCGTCAAAGCATATAGACAAAAAGGCTAAAGTCGTGTATGTGAACAGAAATCCTAAGGATAGACACGTTTCTCAGTACAATTTTTTGAAAGAGTTGAATGGTGTTCCTCCAAATTGGACATGGAAGCAGTATTATGAAGATGTGGTTATCAATGGTAAAGTGTTTTCTTTTTAATAATTACGTTTGTGTAAGCTTAAGACCCGTAGATACTTTACCAAACAACTTTAAAAATTGTTTTGCAAAACAAAGACATATTTATTTTTTATGTACGTCATAATCCAAAATTTGTGTATAATTGACAAAGAAAAAAGTTATTTAGGTTAAACATTCAATACGTTCATTTTTTCATTTACTATTCATTTGTATAAAACTATAATGTTCGGTTCGTTGATACTATACAAATAAAATCTTAATATAATTCCAGAGCATAAATCTACCTGCTGTTTTATATGTTTTTTGAAGAAACAAAAAGTTATGAATGATGAAATATTACCATAATTTTTTAAATCAATCTGCATTTGTAAAAGAAGATACTAAATGGACATTCACAAAACACATTTAAGTTAAAAGAAGGTGCACATCGTGTTATGAAATTACCTCGCGCATTTTTTGAAAATGAGCTAAGGTGAAAGTAAACTTTATTTGTTTCCATACATATACATCATATAGGTATGAAAATACAGACGTTTTATGAACATAGAATTTGTATAGATGTGGCGCGTCCGAAGCTCTTTTGTGGATTTACCTTCATTAGGAACGATCAAATCAAAAAAATTGAAGGTCCAAGCCATACAAAAATATTGAAGGTCCAAGCCATACAAAAACATTGAAGGTCCAAGCCATACAAAAACATTGAAGGTCCAAGCCATACAAAAACAATGAAGGTCCAAGCCATACAAAAACATTGAAGGTCCAAGCCATACAAAAACATTGAAGGTCCAAGCCATTCAAAAACATTGAAGGTCCAAGCCATACAAAAACACTGAAGGTTCAAGCCATACAAAAGCTATGACACCCGAGTAGAAATGTTACGGGAAGAAGGATCAATCAGGATTTTAGTGGTGTTCATGTTGCTCAGTCTTTCGGTTTTCTGTGTAGTGTTTTAGGACTCGTTTGTCTTTTGGCCGTTTTCGTATTTTTGCCATGACATTGTCAGTTTCCCTTTAACTAGAATGTAAACTGCCATTTGTGTTTATGTCATCTCTTGTTCGCGTATTATGCTGTTACATGTAGTTCATTCTTTTAATCTACTTTCATATCATTATAGATACATTGTTAACTGGTTGGTTCAATTACACGAAAGAAATGACAAATGCTGCAAGAAATAACAAGAATGTGCATGGTGTGCTGTTTGAAGATTTGAAATTGGTAGAACGATTATAAAGACTTTATTTGCGTTTGTCGGTTACTGTGGATTCATTTATTTTCGTGGATACCTATATTCGTGGAGTCAGAAAAACTTGCATTTTCTTGGATATTTAATTTCGTGGCTTTGGCAAAGTTTGCATACATTCCTTTAGAAAATTTACAATTCGTTGAACATTTGAATTCGTTGTTCCCCTGTACCCACGAAATCCTCAAAAATTGGTATCCAACGAATGATAATGAATCGACAGTAATTCGACTAAAATAAAACAATGCGAGTTTCACAGAACTGAAATTTTATTTTCAAAATGTAACAGAATTTAAGGGTTAATGTAACAGTTTCAAAATTCCTTATTTATCATTCAACACATATCGGCAGATCTAAACGAAGAGAAGCGAAATCTGCCGAGTTTTGCCGATTGACTTCCCTATCTCTAATGAGAAGGACACATTTATTTAACAGATGCATAGTTTATATAGTCGAACTTTATAGTAACAAATTCTTGTTTGAAAGAAACTTCTACACATTAATCGTTGCATAAAGTACTATTAGTTCGAGTATAAATAAATATCAACCATTACGGAACTTGAACCTCTATAAATTTCAATAAGTTCACGATTGCCACAAATGTTTAACAGAAGTTAGATATTGAATCTAAATACTAGCAAATCTAAATACTAGCTATAGTATATTATGGACATTAAATATCTAATTAAAAAAAAAACAATTGCCTAATGAAAAAAAAATTAAACCTTTACATATCACGAGGTTTGTTGATCATCGTTTGTGACAGATATTGCAAACGTCAAATATGAATAATATGATGTTGGAGATACATACACGAGACAGGAAACAAGCGCCATAACAACATCGATAGGACAATATACGATCTTCAACTTACCTTTTTTGAATTTGACTTGGAGTTCGGTATTTTTTTTATAATTGTTTCTATACAATATGTCAATCTGTCAACAACTATGAGTCAATAACAGTTGTGAATAAAAAGAATAAAGACTAGCTATCAACACCAATTTTCCAAATGTCGATTTCTAACTTTAACATATACATTGTAGCGCCCGATTGAAACAATCAAACAACTTGCTGAGTTCCTGGAAGTTCCCTTTGACGATCAGTTTATAGCAGAAGTTGCCGATAAAAATGTCTTTCAAAAGTTAAAAGATCATAAACAGGATGCTACAGTTGCAATATCAAGGGATTATAAGTCAGTGTTGTTTAGAAAAGGTAAATATCAAGAGAACATAAGTCAGTGTTGTTTAGAAAAGGTAAATATCAAGAGAGTATACATCAGTGTTGTTCAGAAAAGGTAATTGTCAATCTTCGTTTAAATGTGAATTCAAAGATGATAACTAGGTGCCTAGTAAGCATATATTCTTTATGTGCCTGTCCCAAGTCAGGAGCCTGTAGTTCAGTGGTTGTCGTTTGTTCATGTCTGTCATATTTGTTTTTTTTTGTAAATTTGTTTGTTATAAATTCGGCCGTTAGTTTTCTCAATTGAATTGTTTAATATTTTTCATGTCGGGGTCTTTCATATCCGACCATACGGTATGGGTTTTTCTCATTGTTGAAGGTCGTACGGTTGCCTATAATTGCTTACAGAACTTCATTTGAACTTTGGTAGATAGTTGTCTCATTGCCAATCATACCACATCTCCTTGTCTTTATATAAATAACTTGAATAAGAAAAAGGTAAGAGGTTTTAGGGATTCGCATATTTTTGCTGTATTAATCAATTAAGTATGAGTGACTGAAACAAAAAAATAACGTTACACTTATTTAGTCAGGGTAACCAGTTTCTACGCTACAACTACTAACTGAATTCTTCGGTTAAAAATAAAAACGAATCCGGTGATCCACTTATATCGATATATCATAAAAGACGAAAGTGATATAATTATGAAATATCATCTGCAATCCAAATTATGAGGACAGATTTTCGGGAAAATGTAAATCAAAGGAGAAATTTCAAATGTTTCGCTCCTTTCTGAGCACATTATTTAGGTTTTAAGTTTGATTGACTGTATTTCTGGAATTATAAATACAACATTTATCTTTTGCGATGTTCTGATGCAGATCAACTATTTTTAAATACAAACAAAATTGCAATGTCAAAATCTTGTGGAATTTCTCCAAAACTGTCATGGGTGTGTAAAATATTCATTTACACACAATTTGTCTATAAGAACTAGTTCATTAACTATCATAATTTGGAAATGTTCCTTTTCTAAGTTTTCCCCTCCCTCCCGTAGTTCATAACAAATATTTTTTTTATTTTTTTTTTTGTATTCTTACAGGGGAAATTGGAGACTGGAAGAACTGGTTTTCGGTCTCGCAAAATGAACAATTTGATGTAATGTACAGAAAAGAAATGGAGGGTGTTGAAGTAGACTTCACATACGAAATACAGTAGATACTGTATCGATATTGCATTAAAATTTTGTATTAATCAAATATTAAAAGACGAATTCGACGGAGCCACATGAACTAGAAATTATTTCAACATAACAATGTCTGAAAGTTTTATAAATGTACGAATTCACCATAAATGCATTCACCTAATCACTTACAACCCTGGTTGGTATAATCGTTCACACACAACCACACAACAACTGATACCCGATCTCTAGAAGTGCAACCCTAGTTTAACATTATTACATAATTGAATGACAAATGTTATTCCCGGGGACATTGCCACTGGGGATTATGGTAACCTAAAAGACTGATAGTCCACCAGCGGCGCTGTATTTTGATATAATGCTATTCATTCTATTGAAAGGTATTTCCGTCGCTTATTGGAGTTCATTGGGCACATATTTTACATATGATAAAGAAGGTATTTCAAAAATAAGTATGTTAGCGACTACTCATGTTGGAATGCCTAAATGTGAAACGTTTAATAGTATAAATTCAAATGACTCTATCAATACAGCCGAAGTCGATTAAGGTCAACTTTGCCAACGAAAGATGCAGTCATAGTTTTAAAAGAGTAACAAAATAGTCCTGGAAGTATATACAGATAAAAATGTAAAAACATTACAAAATCTAAATATTAAAGTACTGATTTTACATGTCGTAACGTGATGAATATTTTGAAGCCCACTGCTTCCAGGAAACACATAACACAAAAATACATGGATTTGCTGAATACAATTTCTCATTGTAGTGAGCTTGGTATGATTCCGGGTAGTTTGTAGTACGCATAGATTCTGCTTATGGTAGTGATTCCCCAAGACTTGGAGGAAATAAGAAATCTGGTGAAATACCTTTGCAATTATTTACGGTGCATACCCATGAAATATCCTGTCTTGAGTATTCTATTGATACGGAAAGTAAATCCATCGTACATTAATGATCTTCTCCCCGATTTTTTTTCTGACAAACGAACTCCGAGTCTGTGCCTTGACGCAACTTTAAAACGGACTAAAATTATTTTCTAAAGCGATCAGTATTCTGTAAAATTCGGAAACAAATTACTATTTACTCTGAAATATTCGCAATTAAGTGACATGTATGTCTTAACTATAACAGGATTTCTCCTGATCACCTTCTTTTCTTATAGAATTGAAAATGAAAAATATATAATTCAAATTTATAAATGTGTTAAAAATTCATGATAACTATAGTTATATCTATTATGAATTATCTTCATTATTACCTATGTTACCTGTGAAATGAATGCGCGCAAATGTAATCAAATGCTGAGCGCTACGTAACGTAACAAAATTTAATCCCTAATTGTGCGCAAATGTAATGCTCTCGTCCCATCCGGTTTCATACGAAAAAAGATTTAAAAAAATATTTCCTTGAATTTGACAGTTGTAGGAAATTAATCCTGCATTTTATTGCAGAAGATAAATCTGAGTCATAAACAAATACCTTGGGTGATTCAAAGCAACATTTTTGAAATGGTGTTTTTATAAAATATTTTGAAATCTTGAGGTGACATGGTTACTAATGATTGTAAACAGGTAAAATAAGGGTGACAATTTAATTGGTTAACTTTAGTGATGGTTATTATCTTATATGCAATGAAATGTCATTTGAAATTTTGACTGTAGTACTGAACAGGATAAACTTTACTTATGCAAAGTATTTCTTTATTTAAAACAAAGATTTATTCTGCACACTTTTTTTGAAAATGTCAACTTAACAAAGACTAATAGGGAACAACAATAGTTGTATTTCTCCTATTTAGGGAAGCTGTACATGCACCTTTGACCTGTATGTACTCTCATTTTCCAAATTTCATGCTTTTTCACTGAAAAGTTGCAAACATGAAATATTCTTAGTGGATTGAGTTTCAAAGACACATTTGAGGGAAACTTGCCTTGAATTATGGCTCTACTATGAATGTTAGTAAGCATAGCAAGCTATACTCAGTGATTTAGTTAGATTTTCCGACTTTGTCTCCTTATTTCTTATATTGGGCTATAAAAGAACACATTTTCCTGGGTAAATATTTAAGAAATATACAGTTATAAGTAAATGAAATGTTTTTGAAGCAGTTACAACAAATATTTACTTAGAGAGAATCATTTTATTTATCCCTCTCTGGAATGCGGCGTAAACTTAAGTTAATTCAGCTTGAACACTTCGATTACTCACTTTTTATCACATTTGTACATAAATTACTCCGAGTTACTCCGAAATTTTTATTTGATAGCCTAAAAAGTTAAAATTTTGAGGCAATGAGAAAAAACTCGCCTTATTAAATTTTTTTTTAAATCTTGACCCCACCGACGCCGCCGGAAACAGCACACCTTTATTACTTCGTAGAGGCGAGACAAAAAATATCTATTACACTTAACTTTTTTCGTTCTCTTATATCTGGAAAATCTTTATCCGATGTAACCTAATTGCAATTTTAATGAATTGTGCATGAAGATTAAAAAGGCCAAGAATTGCATTCGGTAGGTTGTAATGTGGAAGTAAGAACACAATTTTGTAGTGGTTAATTAGGAATCTTTTTTTTTCTATGACTTAAAGTAAGTTTTATTTTCCAGCGATCATCTACTTGACATGCATGAAAACTCGTGTCTAGAATTATAATATTATCTAAACACATTTCTAAGTAAACACATTAAATGTACACATGTCTTGAATATAAACACTTTTTAATGTGTTTTAGAATTAAAAGTTTTTAGGACTTTTAAAAACACTAATTTCGAAGCCAAACATGATTCTAAACACAATCAGATCGATCTAAACATGTTACAAAGTTAAACTAAGTGTTGTTAAAATAAGTGCTCAAACAAAGTATTTAAAATTGTTGTTAGGATCTAAACACCATTTTATACAGTTTATAAAAATAAGGAGATGTGGTATGATTGCCAATGAGACAACTATCCACCAAAGTTCAAATGAGGTGGATGTAAGCAATTATAGGCAAGTTGAAATGAAAACAAAACTTCAATTTGATGTTGTCATTTCCCTCCTTAAGTGGCAAATGACGATTAAAGAAGGCTATAGAAGCTTGATGTAAAATATTGCTATGCGAAATAAAGGCAACAGTAGTATACCGCTTTTCAAAAGTCATAAATCGATTAGGAGAAAACAAATCCGGGTTACAAACTAAAACCGAGAGAAACTCATCAACTATAAGTGATAAACAATGGAACAACAGAAACACTGAACTGCAACAAAAAAAAAAAAAAAACACAAACAACAACAAACGCTAATAAATTCCTGGAGTACTAACTTCAATTTATTTTTCTACTGGCTGTATACCTCTCTGGAACATGCTAATTATCCGTATATGTATACAGCTAGATCAGAGAAAGTCAAGGAAAAAATTCCAAAGGAATCGATTGATATGCAGTAAAGATTGGCACTTTTGGAATTAAGTTACTGAGCAAATTCAAACGGACCTTATCTCGATGTAAACATTGAATGTGAATAGATCGAGAAGACCGCAAATACATGTACAAAAATCGAGACGACCATTTCTTAAATTTTTATAGAAAATAGTAGAAAGATACCTACTTTATTAGAATAGTTATCCATAATTTCTGAACCTGCATAGACATACTTAAATTTTCATATTCACGAAAAGACAATATTTCTCTATTATTGGGTGTACATGTGACAAGAGCAGACCGGTGTGCTCAATAACTTAGATTGATTGATTGATTGTTGTTTGCTTTACGCCGCATTAGAACAGAAAGGCTATATCGCGGCGACAGCTAATTCGAATATTATAACAATTTAAGGTATATTTTTAAAATCAGACAAAAGGTCTTTCAATAAACTAAAATTCTAGACTAAAGCAAATTGATTATTTACAAATAAAAATCAACACTAAGATAACGTGATAAAAATTAAAATCGTTTTAAATATAACAATATTTTTTTATATTTTATGATATATTCCAATTTCTTTTAAGAATGAAACAATATTTGTAAATGGAACATTATTAAATAAATCATACATATTATTGACATTGAAAAGCTTCTTCCGAATATCAGCAAAGTCAATACAATGAATTAAAACATGTTTAATAGTATACTTGCAGTTGCAAGGTACACATTGTGGTTCATCTTCATTTTTTAAAAGATACTCGTGTGTCACTCTAGTATGACCAATTCGGCATCTCTCAATAACTTAGGTATGAAAAAATAAGTAAACTTTGAGAAATTGTAACATGCTAAAGACTTTGTGGAACACTCCGAAAATTGGTGACCTGAAGGATCTTAACATTTTGTATGTACATGATTTTCTTCAATTTTTTAATCAATATGCAGCAAGGATTGGCATTTTTTTATATTTCAGTTTCACTAGCTTCTAATGCAATTATCTCGATAAATACCGAACATAAAACATAGTGTATTTGCATGTATATTTCTTCTAACACAGTTTAACAAATATTTTTTTTGAAATGTACAATTATTATTTAGAAATAACTTTTGATCACTATCGTCACCGGAATTGTTTTATTATTGACTTTCTCGACTCTATCATAAGAAGAGTGAATTTTCTTTTGTTTTCGTTCATTAGATTTTCCACTGATAAAAGGCTCCGACATGAAAAATATGAAACAATTCAATTGAGAAAACTAACGTTTATAGATATGAGAAGATGTGGTATGAGTGCCAATGAGACAACTCTCCATCCAAGTCAAAATTTATAAAAGTAAACCATTATAGGTCAAAGTACGGTCTTCAACACGGAGCCTTAGTTTACATGTAGAAAAATATCGGAAATGTATTTTTTAGAAGTGTGCGAAGATATTTTGTGTCTAATTTTTGTTACACATGGTGCGAAATTTAATACATATAATGTTCAATTCATAAATATGACGTAACAGAACATGCATATTCATAAAAAAAGTGTGCTAATTGTGACTCTATAAAAATACCTTTACGTTAAAAATTGAACAAATGTCAATAAACTCGTCATAGATACCAAGATTAAAATTTTGAAAACCAAACTCGCGTTTCGTCTACAAAAGACTCATCAAGGACGCTCATATCAAAATAGTTAAATGCCAATTTAAGTAAGACGTTGAAGCGTATTGACATATTGACTAATATGTACAAATAGATAAACATACGTTCAAAAGTTACAAAATTTTGCAATGAATAAAACATTTCATTTTGCAATAAATAAAAACATTTCATTTTGCAATGAATAAGAGCATTTCATTTTGCAATGAATAAAACATTTCATTTTGCAAGTGATACATATTGAATTTCAAAATCAAAATAGTAAGAACAGGAACCACTGACACAGGATTCTTACATAAAATGTTCCATATAATTTCATGACTGTATACCTCAATCTCATTTATATCCAAGTCATCATACTGAAAAAAGTAAATACTATTATGAATATGTTTTAACCTGCATTCAATAACTGGATTTGTTTTAATTTTTTTAAATTATGACTTGTCTGGCCTTTATAATTGAGAATTTCCTTAATTTAAAATTTCGTCATTACTGTCAAATTTTTCATTTCACATCCAATATCTAGTTTTCATAGGAGTCCTTTACATAATATCTTTGCCTGCCGGCAATTAATGCAAAATAGTGTATCATGAACTGGGATATAGAAATTTTGCTACCTTGACTCGAAC